TCTCTCTCTCTCTCTCTCTCTCTCTCTCTCTCTCTCTCTCTCTCTCTCTCTCTCTCTCTCTCTCTCTCTCTCATACACACACACACACACACGCATAGACGAGAGAAAGTAATTCTATTGTTTATTGTTTTCTTTTTCTTTCTTTATTTTTGAAAATGCAATCTCGTAGGTTTTCTTTTTTTTGAAGGTTATTTAGTTTTTTTTATCACGTTGATTTCCTCAAAAGTATGGTACATTCTATCTATATGGGGGGCGCAGCGCGACCGGGAGCGCTGCGCCCCCGCTGGAGCACCGTCGGAGCGGACGCGGCCCGACGCAGGAGCTAGCGGAGAGTCTGGCGACGCGGTGGGCGGGTGGGGGCTGTGGGTGCAAGACTTGACAGCAGGAGGGTAGAGATGACGTGGCGCGACTTGGTGTGGCCTGCCTTTTGAAAGCACAGGTGGTGCCATCTCCGGCTTCACGCTTCACCTAGTGATGCTGCAGGCCAGAACGCTGGATGAAGGGAAGTCTGCCCTTGAAAGGGGGCGGGTCTTCATGAGATTCTCGGCATATTGGTTGCCTTTGCTTCTCTGCCTGCGCAGTTTTGTGGAGGATGGTCGGCTGATGCAGTGTTACATGCTGAAAGCCTACACACGGGCCCCTCACGGGACCCGAGGTTGGAATAGGGCCCCCAGGTCGCGTCACCGCAACCTGAAGGCCCTATGGCATTTTTACTTGGGCCTGCATCAGAAAAACGCCAGCTTTAGATTATTTTTATATTCTTTTATTTATTTATTTGCTGCTGTTTTTCTAACGGGTGTACTGTTGTCCGTTTTGTGGCCAGGTACACATTTTAGGACCAGGGCCAGATTCAGGCCCAGAGGCTGAGCTCCTAAAAACGTTTGAACCTTTTCTTTTGTTTTCGAACAGATTTTGACCTGTTCGGACCCAGGCCGACGTTGAGGCCGGGTACGTCCGCACAGGACCGGTTTGAAGCCAGGTACCAGGAAATTGAATCCTGGACAGGGCCTGGACGTCCGGTAGGGACCCAGACAGGCCGTTTTAGGCCAAGGACTGAATCAGTTTTCGAAGCCTGCGATCTGGACCGTGGATCGGAGTTTCGATCTGCACGGTCCAGAACGCAGGCCGTGGACTCACTGGGTCCGGCCCAGCACTACTTAAGCTCGGCCAACGCCCAGTTGTGGACAGAAGGTACCAGGGGAAATCCAGTGTTACGCTGGTTCAGGACTTCACTCGCTGCGCTATGAGGGGACTACAGGCTGCGCTATTTTGGGACTGCAGCTGCGCTATTCATCGGCAATAAGGCACAGCACTGGAGGAGACCAGCGCCGAGGAAAGTAGTGGAGTTCGTTAGAGAGAGAGAGAGAGAGAGAGAGAGAGAGAGAGAGAGAGAGAGAGAGAGAGAGAGAGAGAGAGAGAGAGAGAGAGAGAGAGAGAGAGAG